ATCAAATCTTGTGATAATATAAGATAATCATGAGTATTTTTGTCAAATGACGAGGGGATCATCTGATCAATTCATTTTTCAAAAACCTTTAAGAATTAAGAAGCCCTTTTTTGAAGCCATTTATAGGACCATAAGTATTTAGAAAATAGAAGTGAGCCAGCAGAAATGAATTCTTAGTTACAGAAAGAACCTCAGGATATTTTTGTTTCAGTTAGGAAACAAACATTTTGATGACATATTGGGCACCATACATAAACAGAAAATCAACTTCTCTTGACTAATTTTTTTAAAAGGTTATGGTTTCATTTCAACATTTGATATTAAGTTAATCATAGTAATAAATAAAATGTTAAGGGGTACAGATGTAGATAGATCATAAAGGTTAAGGCTTTATTTCACTTTTAGGTACTTTGGTTTAGGGCCAACATAGCTTTATGATTATCAGTTGCACTCTAACAGAGAACAAGCATAAACATATTAATTTCTAATGTTCCAAAAGATCAAGCTAATCTATGCTAACTGAAGTTTTGCTAGATTTTGAGAATTGTTTTCTTCTAAGAGAAGTGGGCAAAAACCCTCAGGAAGTAAAAATTATGGATTACATTTCTTTCCCTCATTAGAGGAACTTGATCACAAAAGTCTGGTTTAGCATTCCTCTGGATATAATGTTAAAAAAAACTCAGGTCCCTCAAATATTTACCATTTTCTGTGTCTATTATCACATAAAATTAAATGAAAATTTCACACTATTCTATTATTATTTCTTCTAAGAAGTTTAAATCTTTTAAACTTTATTTTTAGAAATCAAAATAAGCAAATTTCTGCTAAGTCAGGGTTTGGATTTTTTTTTGTTTTGAGTTTTTTTCATTTTTCTGATTTTTCTCAGGAAACACTCTCATTCCCAAGCTACTAAATAGTATAAAAATAATAAAAATAAAAAAATCTTTGACAATTCCTTGGAAAGGAGTTTTAAATAAATCATCTGGACCCATTTTATCTTCGGCTGAACGTTAAGATTCTACATTTTTTAACAAGCTAGAGTTACGCTGTCCTGAACATTAAAAGTGCATTTTGTTTCTCCCATTTTAATGTTGAGTGTTGAGGTAGAGCTCTACTTGTAAGTGAAATGGAAACAGAAAACATGGTGTTAAAACCCTATAGAAAAATTTGGATAAAGGTTTTACATTTTTCACATCAATTTCTTATTTTGTTATCCAATAAAATGTAAATTTCATTACATCAAGGACTGTTTTATTTTTATCTGCATCCCTAGGGCTTAGCACAGTGTTTGGCATAGAGGAAGTGCTTAATAAAGCTTAGCAAATTCAACTACTGATTTATACTTGTGTAAATATGTATATCACATATGTATATTTATACCAACAAAACTTAGGCTAAGATTCAATGACTAGTTAAGTATGGATGTGATGGGAATGTAATTTTTAGTTTTTTAAAAAACCTAACAGCAACACTTCAATGATGAAATTCCAAAGTAATACAGTACCTAAAAATAATTAGGATTTTGGTGCTAAGTCCTTTTCCCTTAAATGCTGAGATGTACAAAATATAGTGGTATGTTATTTATAGGAATATTTAAGTTTGTTGAGGTATGAATTTTTCGAATAGCTTTTCCTCTGGGAGAAACAGGATTCTAATACTACTTATATTAAACCCCAAAAGTTATTTACATGCACAAGTTATTATGCACCACCAATTACTATTTTAAGAATGTATGTATCAAGTTCTCTGTGTGTTGGGAGCAAGAGGCGAGAAAAAATTTGTACAATATCTGTTTTAATGCAGCCTCATATTGTAAAACAAGCATATAATTAATGAGCAGATACCACATTTCTATCTGTTAGGACTCAGACGCCAATTACTTAATCACAACCAGAACTACAACTTGTTTTAAAAAAAGAATAAAACACTGCCTTTTTACACTCCACACTACAGTACTAGAACTTATTGGTTTGACAATACATTTAAAGCAATGACAACACTTAAATAATTCTGTAAAGGGTTTTCCATTATTCAAAATTTTACAGTTTCATTTAGAATGCCTAGATCTATTTTCTTGAACATACCTGAAAATGAACAAGACTATGAAATGTGAAAGTTGTTTTCTTTTCCTTTATATGAGTAAATCAAAAATCATTATGCCAAGCAACAGATCACCAATATCCAACACAAAAAAATTTTTGTTCTTTCATAAATGGCTAAGTTAGATGGAATAAGCAATAATATGTAGCAATGTATCTATGTATGTATATTTTTAAAATTATGAATAAAGTTAAATATTGGCATTTCAAAAACAAACTCTCAACTTACTCAAGAAGTATGTTAGAAAAAAAAAACCTGAACTTTAAAATTTGAATGAATAATTATCATTTTCTTTTATAATGTACATAAGTTAATAGCAAAACCTGGAGGGGTTAGGAATTTAGACTGTGGAGTAAGTCCTAATGTCTCTTCAACACAGCCCTCTACCCCCAAATTGAAAATCATTTCTAAAAATGACTAGTTACAGTTATGTTGTAATTATCACTAACCAAATTGATATTTGTAAATCAGAAAACATTTAAAAGTTCTAGAGACTAGCTGTTTCTAGGGTTAGGCAGTCAGAATACAAGTCAACTTTTTTAAAAGGAGCAAACATAAATTTAGAGCAAATAATCTAAAAAAAATCCTCAAAACCTTTCCAATTCCCTGTCATTAGATGGGAGTTAAAAGGAATTCTATAAAAGGCTGAGATAGGCAATTGTATGATGTTGTTTCTTTCATTTATTTTTTATACTCAATGATATCATTAGTGTAGGGAGGGTATTCTGAATGAGAGACTCCCTTCCTGTCCCAATTACTGAATGGAACCTTCTTTACAACTTAATCATTTTAGAGGGTTGCCCAGGGCACTGAGAGGCTGAGGAACTCTACTAGGATCCAATAGCCAGTACGGATGTATTAGAGATGAGAATTAAACCCAGGTCAAAACAACTCTCAATCTATTATGCCAAGCTCCTTTCACTATGTTTCAACATAGTGAGTTGTAACAATATGGTGTAAGACTATGCAAAATAGGTAGCACAAATCATTTGTGGTTTGATTTGTAACCATTTAAAAATGTGTAAAATAAAATACTGCCTACTAAGTTTGGTATCATCTTTACCTGTCAGAAAGGCATTAGAAATAAGAGACATCATAATTTTATCTTCAATGGATAGCAGTTGCAGAATATTTGAGGTTCCATTCCTATTTCCTTTTATGGTATGTGGAGCATCACAAGCTGTTTTATGCCAATTTCTTGGATAGCTGGGTAACAGGAAGAAGGGTAAAGAGAGAAAGAGAGGGCAGCTAGGTGGTGCAGTGGATAGGGCACTGGCCCTGGATTCAGGAGGACCTGAGTTCAAATCCAGCCTCAGACACATAACACTTACTAGCTGGGTGACCCTGGGCAAGTCACTTAACCTCATTGCCTAGCCAAAAAAAAAAAAAAAAAGAGAGCGAGAGAGAAAGAAAGAGGTCCTTGAAATGCATATGGAAAAGTTATGGATGCATAAACTTGAAGCCATTCATCCTGATAAAACATGGGAATATATGCATTTTTACATATGGTGTAGAAGTAGCAGAAAGCAAAAATAGAAATGGTTTGCTAATGGCTGCTGAAGGGATTTACTTGTGTAAAGATATAACATTAAATGTTACAATATTATTATAAACAATGAAGTGCCTTAATATCATCGAGACACTAAACCAGACTAGCAACATGAAATTCAGTTGATTTGGTGGCAGGAATGTAAAACTTAAAAGTTTTTATCATCTTTCATAGATATAAAAAAGGCAGGAAGGGTCAAAAGGCATTCACTGTCTATTTAGTAATCAACCAACTTCCAAGCACAACTTTTGTATTTTGCTATTTTGTGAGTAAGGGCATGGCAAAGCAACAGAAATACTATGAATAGAGAAGCTGAAGTACATAAGAGTATATGTAAAGTTAATGTCAGATTCCAATTTCTCCTGAAATTTAAGAGCGGAGCTTGTACGTTTTCCTTCCAAGTTTGTTAACTAATGACAAGAAAACATTAGGTAGCTAAGATCTTTTTTTAATAATAATGTCAGAACTTTCATTATGTGTTGCTTCATTCTGATATGTCTAAGTCAAAATGAGCTTAAAATGTTTAATGTTCTAAATAATTTTCCATTAGAATCCATACATACCATGTGTGTACATAAAACAATTAATTTGTTGTTCAATATAAGGGTAGTTCTGATTTCACAATTTATAGTTCTAGCTGCTTCATTCCTTAATCTTGAAAATTCCCTTCAGTTAAAAAACTAAAAGTGGAATGCCAAATTAGACCATGAATAAATTTTTCTAGATCGCATAAATGCTTTATTTTTAAGTTATATGAAAAACTCATTTCCCTAAGTGGGAGAGAAGATTACCGCTAAGCAGATAAAAGTAAAAGGATACTAAAGGCTAAGAGGGACTGCTAAAATTAAAGATGTGTTAAAAAACAAAACAAACCCCCCCCCCCCCAAAAAAAACCTGGCTTTAGATTTGACCTGAGGCTAAAGAGTAATTAATTATTACAGACATCAGGTAAATGACTTAGGCTTTGCACTTCTTTCTCTTGCTCCAAGCTAGGTTAGAGTGGATGCTGTCAAGGTAGTATGTAACCTAATATGCTTATCCACAGTGCAGCGGGGCCAGTGGGTAAAATCTTGCAGTATTTTCAATTCAAGTGCTATTTATTCTTTTCAAAACAATATCACAAATGTGCTTCAAAAAGTACACTTTTTCCTCAAAGAAAACTTGAATGGATGAGTATACATAGGCCTCAAATGGGATACTGAATGAAAAACTGAATTTTCTATTGTATTTACAGAGTTTATAATGCTTTAAGTATGGGTCTCATAAATATAGTATAAAACTTTACATGTGCTAAACAAAAAATAATTATTTCCCCCCAAAATATTTGGGTTAAATAAAAACATTGACAGCATTTATGCTACTGTTTTTTTTTTATTGCCAGTCAGTTCAAAACATTTTCAGTTTGCTATGTGTTCACCTATGTTATCTACTACCACCATCTTGATCGTGAGAGCTTATTTAAAAAGGTGCCAATGATGCATCTGCCTAAACATAAATTATAGTAAAAAAAAAAAAAAAAAAAAAAAAAAAGGATTATTTAATGTTTTCAATTCATTGCATGTATCCATCCATGGCTAATACCTTCAATGAAAAGTGCTTCAGGGATGGTAGGGGATGAGATCCTTTCCATCAGTTTTATAAATAACTTATTATTTTGAATACAAAGTAACAATTACCCTCCTTTCACTACGGCTATGCACTCAAATTTTAAATGGTACAGCTCACTATAGCAATGATAATGGGAAGAAAAGTAATCTAAGTGTCAAAATTACAATTTCTACAAGGCTTATTTTTTTCAAGAACCACAAAAGTGCTCATTTTCCCTTTACAAAACATGACATAAAATCTTGATTACAAAACTATTAAACATTTTAATGCTACTATCCATACAATTACACATTCCTCTTCAGTAAAGTCAAAATTTCAAATACGTATTCTCTTTGACTACAAGAAATTCTTTACATAATAGAAGTAAACAGACTGAAATTTCACAACTGCAGTCTTCAGGAAGTCAACGATACTAGAAACAAACCGGTCGATTTCTGTAGGCTCTCTGTGTACGATGATCACTCAGGTGAAAATGCAAAACATATATACTCAAAACACCCCCATTAACTTTCAGGACCACCTACTTTATAATTAAGTCTGAGTTGCTGCATATCAGTCAACAACAGCTTCGCTTTGGCTCTGAAGGCTGTCTTCTTAATTTGAAGCCTTTACCACTAGATGAGGGATTAGTATCTGTTGATGGAATTCTTCGACCTACAGCAAAAGCAGCCAAGACAAGGAAATCAGATGATTTTAAATGTTCAATTCAGCCTTGTGTAAGTAACCAACAACCATCTACAAAAATACAGTCCGAGTTTTCTCTTTTGCTAGTTCTTAAAACATAAACTTAATTTTACGCAAAAATGGTCATACAGAAGAAGACTAAAGTGAAATAACTTTGGAATATTAGGGAGAAACTATTCATATTTTAGAAAATTCGAGTTGGGTATTTTCAAAGAACATATTTTAAAGTAGTAATTATCAAACACCAACGTCAAGGCTGTTGTGTTATTTACAATCAGAAAACCTGAGTTCCAGTCCATGTTCTTCCAATTCCAAGCTGGATAGCCTTGGGTGTGTTATTTAACCTCTAAATCCTTTCTTAGCTGTAAAATGGGAAAATTATCTGCACAACCTACCCTACAGGACTGTTCTAGGGATCAAATGTAATCATGTATGTAAAGCAATTTACACCAAAAAAGCACAAAGAAATGTCATTCATCAGTGGCAAAATAATAATATTATATATTTCAGCTCACTGTGACACTTAAGATTCCTTTTCTGAATTTATACATTAACTTTCTTTTAAAAAAAAAGTTTTATTGATGCCTTTTGCTTTGACTTCTCATTTTTCATCCTCCACCTATGTGCCCTTATTCTTATGACCAAAAAACAAAACAAAACAAAACAAAACCAAAAAAAAAAACCCTACCAGTTCGGGAAAATCAGAAACGTATCAATCATATCTGACAGCATATTCAAAATATATTAGTTAACAACTTTTGATTGAAGAAAGTATAACAATTTACTTTTTAAACTACTGGGCAAACTTTAAATTCTGAACATTTAACAGAATTCTGTAATATTCCTCTAAAACATCCTGCAACAAGAGTTTTCTCCTTGGTATCCATGTAAGAGTTAAGGTCATAAAGGTCATGATATTTAGGAGAGGTATATTTTATGAAATGTTGAATCCCATTTAGCAATGTCTTTTGAAGATACCAAACCACTGTTATATCGAAGCTTGGATTTTTATAAAATAAATTTTCCAAATGTGATACCTCAATTTCTTTTTAACTTTGCTTATGCACTTTCAATGACCTTGGATAATTAATTGCAATATGTTCACAGTGATAAATATGGAAAGATGACAGCTCATGTGACATTAAGCTCAACTGAATAGACTGAGACTGGATAAATCATTATATTGCTCAGTGATACCCTTCCCCAACCCTGTTAAGTATTGAGAGGTATAAGCTGCATAATAATGTGCCAAATCTGCATTGGTAGAGGGAATTTCATTACAGGAAGTTCTCTATGGCAATAAAATTAAAGTCCATTTTTCTGTAAATGGTTACTTACACACACACACACACACACAAACTTCTAGAGATGAGATGTCTAATAGAGTAGAGGCAGACTGTGAGCCATGCTCCCAGGTGAGGCCAGAACCAGTTTAAAATGAAATTGGGAAACATTTAACAAAATTTAAAAAAATACAACACAGATAATGCTAGTTTGTGGTTTTCTAACTCAATATGCAGCCTGCATAGACCTATTTCTATTTGAGTTTGACACCACTGATCTAGAGGTTTAGAATCGCTCCAGCAATAATAACAATGAAAGACAGAAAGCAGTTAGCTTATAGTTGGAGATTGGGAGGACAAGAACACAGAATTTTCTTACCAAAGTGATCATTTCAAACTAACAAAATAGATAAGCTTATTTGCCAACATTATACACACTGAGTACAAGATGACTTACTAATTTCTATAAAGAGTTCATTTATGTTTATCGCATTTTTAGCGCTGGTCTCTACAAAAATCGCATGGATGGAATCAGCATAGTCTTTAGCATCTCTTTCCATGACTTCCCTGAAAAATAATTGTAAATGAGACAAATTTTAATGACTAATATTATAAAAGTACTCTTCATCCAGTAATTAACAAGATTTATGGCTACAAAATCCATTATGAAGACTGATGACTGATTGTGGTTACTCCCTTAATATTTGGTCCTCTTCAACTGTATCACTTTTACAAATTTATTTTTGTAATACTAGTAATTTATTTAGCAACTAAGGACCAGAAAATGGCAGTTTGTTTCCCAAATAGGAAGCATGGGAGTTATTAGCAAAGTTGGATGAATGACAACCTTTTTGGGCCTCAGGTTTCTATAAAATGAGAGGACTGAAAAAACTGGGCCTATTTAGCCTGATGAAGAGAACAATTATGGGAGAAACAATAGCTGTTATCAACTATGTAAGGGGCTATTATGTGAAATAGGGATTACTAGACTTACTCTGATTGGCCTCAGAGGTTATAACTAGAAATGCAGAGTTGTAGAAGCAAAATTAGGCTGGACATAAGGAAAAAAAATTCCTAACAATTGTTTTGAAAAGGAGTGGCCTGCTGCAGTTAACAGGAGGTTCTAGTCCTTTCCACAGATCTTCAAGAAAAGACTGGAGGCCCATTTGGAAGGGAAGCTGTACATCAGACTCTGGTCTGATGTGGGTTGATCTAGAGGGTCCCAAAAGGTCTTTTGAGCCTTCAGATTCTGTGACTAGATGATTTCTAACCATAAGTGAAACTATGAGATATAATTTATAGATGCCTGTTTTATTTAAGAAAGGAGATTAATATCCATTTTCTATATCAATGCAAGTCTCCTGGGAATATAATACCTGTCACTAAATAGCTATTTTACTGTGGACAAGTAAATTAATCCTTCTGAGTCTCTGTTTCCTCATATGCAAAAATGAGAGAGCTGGGCTAGATGATCTTTAAGGTCCCTTTTTGCTTTAAAATTGGAGAACTCTATTAACCCAGATCAGTAGCACTCCTGTTTAATCAGGTTTTAAACCTCACTCATTTCTGTAATGTATTTTCATATTTTTGCAAATAGTTTTATTTAAAGGATTTCAGGAGGACTCATGATGAAAAATGCTATCTGCCTCCAGAGAAAGAATAGATGACATCTGAATACAGAATGAAGCATGTATGCTTTCTTTCTTTTCCTTCCCTGCTTGCTTCCTTTCCCTTTCTTTTTTTGAGTTTTCTTCTACAAAATGACTAATATGGAAACGTTTTACATGACTGCACATGTATAACCTATATTAGAATGTTTATTCTCTAAGGGAGGGAGAGAGAAGGATAGGATTTGGAACTCAAAACTTAAAAAAAAAAAAAACCTTGAATGCTAAAAGTGTTTTTACATGTAATTTGGAGAAAAAAAATATTATTGAAAAAATAAAGGAAGGGGCAGCTAGGTGGTACAGTGGATAGAGCACCAGCCCTGGAGTAAGGAGGACCTGAGTTCAAATCCGGCCTCAGACACATAACACTCACTACCTGTGTGACTCTGGGCAAGTCACTTAACTCCAATTGCCTCATTAAAAAAAAAAAAAAGGAATTCAGGATTCCAGCTATGTAAGTATAAAAAACAGAACAAAATAAAATAAAAATTTCCACATGGGAATTCCTTGCTAATAAAAAACAATTTATTTTGCAACTAAATTTTCATCATGCAACTTACCTTACATCAATAAGGTCACACTTATTTCCTGCAATAGCAACAACAATATTAGGTGGCCCATGCTGTCGAAGCTCTTTCACCCAATTCTTTAATGTTGAAAATGTTTCCTATTGAAAAGGAAAAAAAGCATTCAAAAACAGCAGCAACAAATATAAATTATTCAAAAATTCAAAAAGAACCTCTTGTACAGGCATCAATTACCTAACATTCTTATTTAGTTCCATGAAAATATGACATTAGGTGAAACCACATTCCAAGGGCAGTTAGTTCCACAGAAACAACAGCATAAATATTATAAATGGAAAATCTGTTAATGATATTACAGCAAGATTCTATAACTTTAAGGTATTTGCTTACAATATACCAATAGCACTCTTGCAAAACAACACAGCTCAGGGAACTTTATGATGAGTATGCCTAAACTCTTACTTCTTTTGTGATGTCATAAACGATTATAGCTGCTGCTGAGCCTCGGTAGTACATTGGTGCTAAGGCACGAAACTGTATGGAGAAAAAACATGGAAAGCTCTTTTAGCACATGAATTATAAGCATAATTATGACAGTGAATTTCACTAGGTATAAATTCAATCTGCCCTCACACAAATGGGAATCTTTGTCATAATCCAAACAAAGAAAGTCAAATTATTTCACTGACAACTCTCAATGAAAACAATTTTAATGCAATATTAACTCTTAGGAAATAATTCAGCATACATTGTTTTATATGAGTAAGACATGTCCCAAACTAAATCTATTTAAGCTAAAACATGTAATTGAGTTCAAAATCATGAATAAACACATTTTTTCCAATAATCCTTTAAATGTTAGTTCCAACACTATCATTATAAAGTCAAAATAAGATAAAACAAACCCACAACTTATAACATGCATCAAATGTACTTCTAAAGGGAAATGCAAAGAAAATGGAAATTCTGAGAATCAGTTTCTTCTCCAAACTTTTTTTTTCTATTTGATACAGGAAGTTACTCGAAGGAAGAAAAGGAAGGTAAACTTAGTCAATACTGCTGAAGTCTTCTTTAACCTTTCACTTTAATACTATACACTCTGCTTTCTGGACATGGTACCATTTTTCATTTATGCTTAAGTCACTAATTTTTTTGGTTAATTTTTATTGTTTATGAAAAGCTCAGTACATAATGTTATATTGTATCCATTTTAAATTTAAGTTTGAAGTTTTATTTTTTGTAAAATTCTCTCTTAAGTATTGTATTTTAAAAAGCTGCCACAAATGATATATGTCTGGCTTCTTTTCCCATCCCTAATTCACTTATTTCCTTCCATGTCTTCATTCCTCATCCTACAACAGCAGAGCACTGCACACCACGCCCTACCCCATCCCCACCCTACCCCGCACTTAGCTTCCTTTTATGCATTATCTTCTCCCATTAGAATGTCAGCTCCTTGAGGGCAGGGTCTGTCTTTCTTTCTACTTGTATTTCTACCCCTAGTACCTGGCACATAGTAATTGCTTAATAATTGACTTTCAGAAAAATAGAATCCCAGATTATACATAATGCTCCAAATAGTGTTGTCATCTATGCTGCTCAGTATTTTCTATAAAGTTGAAATATTAAATAACTTTCAACACAGTGGATTTAGGAGCTCTGAGTAGAAAAGACTGTTGTACCCAAATAAGGATAAAGCAATCTCTAGTATAGGCTAAAGACTTAGGCCAACACGAAAATGTCCGTAACATTCAGAATATAGTTTGATCTTTAGTTGAAGCCTTGAAAAAACTTATACAGAAAATCACACACACACACACACCCACACACACACACACACACACACATACTTACTCGTTCTTGTCCAGCCGTATCCCAAATCAAGAATTTATGTAGCTCATTTTGATATTGGACAGTCTTGGTCATAAAGGATGCTCTATGAAGGAAGACATAATCAAATTATCATAATTATTATTAACAAAATATTATTACAATAATAATCACATCAAAATTATTATAAAATGGTCATAATCACTATGACTATGTTTGAAATACAATTGGGCATTCAATAGGTCATATTCTTTAGCCTCAATGCTTAGGAAATCAGTAAACCAGAATTTCAGAGATTTTAGATTTAGAAGAGACCTCAGGGTCCAGTTTAATCTAGACTCCAAAAACAACTTCTACTACAAGACAGCTGACAAAGGTCATCTAGTCCTTGACTGAAGGCCTCCGATGGGGGGGGGGGTAGGTGGGTAGGAAGAGAACCCCTAACTTCTAACGTAGCCCATTCCTCTTTTGAATAGTTCTCATTGTTAGGATTCTTTTCTTACATCAAGCTAGGTCTGATGTAAGAAGTTGCCTCTTTGTAACTTCCTTCCATTCTCCTAGTTCTTCAGAGCCAAGGAGAACAAGTCTAACCCTCTACCATTTAATAACCTCTTAAAAACTTAAAATTATCCTGTTCCACCTAAGTCTTCTTTTCTCTAGGATAACTATACCCAGCTCTTTGTACAGATCTTATGCCATGGAATCAAAGTCCTTCACCAACTTGGCTGCCTCACTATAAACTGTACACCTTATGTTAAAGTTCTTCCTAAAATGTGATACATATAAATTTAGAGCTATATTCCCAAAGTCATTAAAATCCAATACCCTCTGACCCAGCAATATCATCACTACTAGACATACACCCTGAGGAGTTAGAAATTAGGGAAAAGATTTATATGTACAAAAAATACTTGTAACAGTATTTATTGTGGTCAAGAACTAGAAATAAAGTGGGTGTCCATAAACTGGGAATAGCTGAACAAATTTTGGTATACATAACTGAATTAGTATACCATTAATAAAAATGTTAAAACATAAAAGTGCCATCATAAACAAATTATATGAGCAAGGAAGACACTACTTTTCAGATCTACAGATAGAAGAGTTCATAACCAAACCAAGGATAGAAAAGATCACTGAAGATAAAATGGACAATTTTGATTACATAAATAAAAAAGCTTTTGCATAAACAAAACTAATTCAGCTAAAATTAGAGGAAAAACAGTTAACTGGGGAAAAAATAATCTTTGCAGCAAATTTCTCTGATAAAGATCCCATATACAAGATAGAGAATTAATTCAAATTTATAAGAGCCATTTTCCAATAGATAAATAAATGGTTAAAGCAAATAAACAAGCAGTGTTCAAAAATAAGTGATCCAAGTTATCAAGAATCGTAAGAGAAAGTGCTTCAAATTATTGAAATTACTTGAGAAATGCAAATTAAAGCAACAGTGAGGCTCCACTTCATATCCCTAAGATTGGCAAAATGACAAATAGGAAAAAGACAAATGTTGGAGGACCTGAAGGAAAGCAAGCACACTAATGCAGTGCTGATAGAACTGTGAATTAGTTCCGTCACTTTGGAAAGCAATTTGGAAGACACTAAACTGTTCATGCCCTGTGACCTTGAAATACTACTTTGAGGCCTATAACCTAGAGATCAAAGAAAGAGGAAAAGGATCCATATGTACAAAAATACTTATAATAGCTCTGAAAAACTGGAAATGGAGGGGGTACCCACCTTTTGGGGAATGGCTAAACAAATTATGGGATATTAGGAGGAAACTAGTAAGGAAATACTATTATGCCCTAAGAAGTGACAATAGATGTTTCAGAGGAACCTTTATGAAATAATATGCAGTGAATGGGTGCAACTAGAATAATTTATATGACAATACTGTAAAGGAAATAAATTTTGATCAATGTAATGATAAACCATAATGCTATAAGATTAATGTACACTTTTAAAAAACACAGCGTAACATAAATTCAACTTCATAGACAGTCCTTTTTTATGCTTTGTATACTGGAATGTTTGTGCTTGTTGATTTAAGTGAATAAAAAAGGCATTCAAAAATAATAATATGGTGGCCAGATATGGTTCAACTGGAGGAAAGTATAGCAGAATTGTTACATCTCTATTCCTAGTAGAGATGTCTCTCTTAACGCTGTCTAAGTTTGCATTAGTTTTTTCTGACTGCTGTTATCATACTGTTAATTCAAATTGAACTTGCAGTCCACTAAAACCCCTGTATCTTCTTCAGGTGATGTGCTGTGTAGCTATTACACACACACACACACACACACACACACACACACACACACACACACCCCCACACCCACCCGCCTGCCTCCAACATTTACTGAGCCCAAGTATAAAGCTATGTGCTTATCCCAGTTAAAATACATCTTATTAGAGTAAACCTAATTTTTTTATCTTGTCTAGATTTGGATGCTGACTGCCGCTCTAATGTGTCCGCTATCCCTCCCAGGTTTGAGTCACCTGCAAATCTGCTAAATATGGTACCTGTGTCTTTATCTTAATAAGTGACAAACATTAAACAGGACCAAACCAAACATAGATACCTGGAACACTACAGTTAAGACCTCCAAGTTGACAAGGAACCATTAATAATTACTCTTTTAATCTAGTCATTTACCCAGTTCAGAATTCATCTAGTTGTACTGTCATCTAGCCAGCCTCTCTTCATATTTTCCACAAGAACAGCATGAGATTATTTTAACAAGGACTTAAAATCTAGATAAAGTGGACGTATGGTATTCTTTTGCTCTACTAGTTCGATAACTGTCAACAAAAGAAATGAGAGTAGCTTGCGTGATCTGTTCCTGATGAAGTCACATAGGTTTGCAACCATAATTCACTTATCTGGATGTTTGCTAACCATCTTATTAATAATTATTTTTGATAAATAAATTTTATCTTTTGTTTTTACATTTCCTAAATTTCCCTTTGTATCACCTTTTATGCCTCTCCACTTTGAGAACCATCCCATATAACAAAGAATTTTTTAGAAGAAAGAAAAAATTCAGTAAAACTTAATACTTTTAAAAATCCAAAAATATATGCAGTGTTTCACACCTGTGAACCTGCCACCTCTGAAAAAGACTGGAACTGTCATAGCTCTCTTTGAAGGCATGCTTGCTCTTCGTAATTCTGCATCTTTCATTTTGGATTCTTTTGCAGTTATTGTCCTTTCCATTTACATTGCTGTAATCATATGTAATGTTTTCTTGGCTCTGCTAATTTCACTGTGCATCAGTTCATATAAGTCTTCCTAAGTTTTTCTGTATTTGTTTTATTTGCCATTTCTTACCATACAGTAATATTCCATTACATTGAGGTACTAAAATTTGTTCAGCTATTCTCCAATCAATGGGCACCTTTTCTTTTCTTTTTTTAGCTACCAAAAAAAGTGTGACTATAAATATTTTTTCTTTTCATCAATAACTTCCTTGGGGGTAGATCTTCAATCATTCTTTCTAAAACTTGGCCAGTAACGCAAATCAAGCTCACTGGCCTATAAATTTGCAGATTCCCTTCTTTTCCCTTTTTTGAGACTCAAGAGAACATATACCTTTCTACAGTTCTGTAGAATTCCTCCCCTTTTGGCCCATATTCTTTTCCATAATTAATTAATGACTGGTTCATTAATCACATCTGCCAGGTCTTTTCCGTACCTAAAGATGTAGTAATCCAGTTCACTGAGCTAGAGGTGGAAGGGATCTTGAAGGCTCTCTAGTCCAATCCTTTCTTTTTACAGATGAGGAAGCTGAGGCACAAGGGAACGTAAGTGATTCTCTCAAGGTCACACTGCAGTAGCATCAAAGGCAAGATGTGAACTGACTCTAAAGCTAGTGCTCTTTCCAGTGTACTTTGCTTTCTGGGCCAAGTGACTAGAATACAAAGGCAACAGAGGGCTTTGTAACTACTGACTCACTTATTTTGTATCATCCATTATTACAATTATTCACTGGATTTCTTCTTTACCCATAGTTATTTATTCAGGATCAAAAGGAAACTTTTAGCACGTATGTCCAATATAAAGGAAGAAAAATGCTTAGATTTAAAATGCAAAATCTTTTAAAAAATCATCTTAATCTAAGAAGTGTTTTGGTACCTGGGAACGCCATCCTTTATTGAAATCTGTAAATATTTTTGACAATATTGTCATAGACAAAATCTAAAAAGCAGCCAAAAATAAAGAACATTGTATGTTCTTTATAACATAAAGATCATAAGATAAATGTTCAGGTCTTTGTAGACATGTCCTGTTTCCCCTATAAGTAAGCTCTTTGAAGGCAGGAATACTATGTTACTAATCTTCTAATTTCACAGAACATCTAGAACAGTGCCTTGCATCTATTAAGTACTCAAAAATTACTAAATAAAATTCAAACTATGTGTAAAGAATTCAAGAAAATATACATGGAAATTTATGTTAATGTCACCTTCTCGATATTGGCTTCTGTAAAGTAAGTCACCACAATAGTGCAAACTATGAAAAAATTAGAATTATGGAAAGGTATAGAATAAGAATTTCTAGATGTTATATTAAATGAGTATTATTTTTGAACAGATGGTATCTACGTTAATCAGTAGCCTTTACTAAACTGTTATCCGCACAAAGTTACTCAATAAAAGCATGCATAATTTTTGGAAACATTTACACATACAATTGGGACATAAAACATGATTTTTCATTTGGGAAATGATTTTGAAATACTGTAAGGTACTCCTAGGAAGATTTTCCAACTGAATATAAATCCAGAACATTATTTTCTACCAGTTATAGTGGCAAAATTTTACTTAAGCTCAAAATAGTCACTCAATAGAAACCTACCATTACCTCAAACTTAATCAGTTCAGCTGTTTAAAATACTTAAATTACCAGTTAGTCAAGGAGTTTGCATTACAAACAGCTGGGAAAGACATGTTATAATTAAAAAAGAAAATTTCAGCAATGTGATTAAAACTCTGGTCATTGCTTCTCACAAACCATTACACTTTAATGAAGCTTAAGAAACCAAGCATAACTGTACCCTACAAAACAACACTGCCAAAACTGAAGCAGAAGAATGGGGA